AGGAGGTATGATGGCTAGCCATGTGATGGTGAATTGATGGACTTGTTTTATATTTTTTTTGTGTACAAATCTTGGAAATTGTAAAATATAATGTTAAAAAAGGATTTTAGGGTACAAGTGTATATATAAATATATAATAGTACTTGTCTGGGGTTAATTTGTGATTTAATAAAAATGTGAGGGCTTGGACTCAATTAAAGTATCTATAAATTAGTGTTAGGAAAATAATTCGGTTTGTATTATCTTGCTTTGAATTTAAAGGTAAATAACCGAACGATGACTGTAAAAATTGAAAGTTAAGGTTTAGAGCGATTAATCTAAAATTTGAGAGTTAAGTAGTTAATATTAGAGTGTTAGAAGTGATTTCTAAGCTTCCAGGATCGATTAGGGTTTGTATGGATTCGCCCGTGATGCGTTTTCAGTCCTAGGGCTTAATTTGCGATTAATCGACGAACTAAGGGCTTTATTATAATAATTCAAAATTTAGGGACCTAATAAGGTTTACAAAAAAGTCAGGGGCCTCACAGTGGTGGTGAAGAAGAAGAATGGTAAATGGAGGGTCTGCGTGGACTTTACCAGCCTAAACAAGGCCTGTCCCAAAGAAAGTTTTCCTTTACCCAAGATTGACCAACTGGTGGATGCCACTTCAGGGCATGGAAGGATGAGCTTCCTGGATGCCTACAGGGGGTACCATCAAATAGCGATGGATCCGCCAGATGAGGAGAAGACTATGTTTATCACCCCAAAAAGGGCTGTATTGCTACAGAGTGATGCCTTTTGGGTTGAAAAATGCAGGAGCAACTTACCCGAGATTGGTAACCAAGATGTTCACACATCTGATTGGCAGAACAGTGGAAGTTTACATCGATGACATGGTCGTGAAGACCAAAGAACCTGAGGGTCATCTGGCCGACCTAAAAGCAGCATTTAATATCCTTAAAACATATCGGCTCCGACTCAATGCATCGAACTGCGCATTTGGAGTGGGATCTGGCAAGTTTCTAGGATACTTGGTGACCAGAAGGGGCATTGATGCCAGCCCAGATCAGATCAAGGCCATCATAGAATTGAAAAGCCCAACATCAGCGAAGCAAGTACAGATGTTGACTGGAACGGCTGCAGCCCTGAATAGGTTCATAAGAAGAAGTTCTGACAAATGCAAACCCTTCTTCAGTTTAGTAAAGAAGGCCACAGACTTATTGTGGATAGAAGAATGTGAAGTTGCCTTGGCCGACCTGAAGAAGTATTTGACCACGGCTCCAGTTCTCTTAAATTCAGAACTTGGAGAGGAACTGTTTCTGTACTTAGCAGTTTCAGAACATGCGGTAAGTGCAGTAGTAATCCGAGAAGAAAAAAGGGAACAAAGGGCTATTTATTATGTAAGCAAAACCCTGGCTGATACAGAAACCATGTATTTACCCTTGGAGAAGTTAACACTAGCCCTAATAATGGCTTCTAAGAAGCTGAACCATTACTTTTAAGCCCATAAAATTGTAGTGTTGACTGAACATCCTCTAAAGTCCCTGTTACAGTAGGGAGACCTGACAGGCAGAATAGCCAGATAGATAGTGGCCTTGGGCCAGTATGACCTGGAATACAGACCCAGAACAGCAATCAAAGGCCAAGTCTTGGCCAACTTCGTGGCCGAATTCACACCAGGAGCCATCGTACATCGGGCTCCGTTGAGCCAAGGTGAACGATGTCCAAGCGAGCAAAGAGGAGCCTAGCCAAAGGCCACAGAACAAAGGAAAGAAGAAAAACTCAGGCCCTACAGCATTTACATCGGCGACTCCTTTCGACAGTTTGTTGATGGAAGTTCAAACCGACAAGGAGCGGGGGCAGGAGTAGTACTAGTATCCCCAGATGGGCAGATACTAGAACAATCCATTCGTTTGGGGTTCAAGGCCTCAAACAATGAAGCAGAGTATGAAGCTCTGATTACAGGACTGAAACTAGCAGTGGCAGTAGAAGCAGATGAGGTGATAGTCTTTTGTGACTCTCAGCTTATAGTCAACCAGACAACAGGTGAGTTCGCAACCCGAGATGAACGTATGTCGGCATACGCAAAGGAAGTAGGCAGGTTGGTGGCCTTGTTTCAAAATTGTCGACTACAGTAGGTTAGCCGAGATAATAACAGTCACGCTGATACCCTGGCCAACCTGGCTAGTGCAATACAATCTGGAAAGGCAAGGACGATAATGGTCGATTACTTGTCGGGCCCGAGCATCGAATCATTGACCACGGAGCGTGAAACAATGTGTGTAGACATGGAACCAAGCTAGATGGACGCAATAATAACATTCCTGAAAGAAGAAAAACTACCAGATGATCACAAAAAGGCATACAAGATCAGATTGAAATCGACAAGATTCAGTCTGACAGCAGAGGGACATCTCTACAGAAGATCCTTCACTGGACCCCTTTTAAGGTGTGTACATGCCTCACAAATTAAAGATTTTTTATATGAAACACATGAAGAAATATGTGGAAGCCACGCTGGGGGCAGATCACTTGCTCATAGGGCTATTACCCAAGGGTATTGGTGGTCCTACATGCAGAAAGATGCAGAAGCCTATGTCAAGAAGTGTGACAAGTGCGAAAGGTTTGCACCATTGATACACCAATCAGCAGCAGACCTAAACCCAGTATCCAGTCCTTAACCGTTTGCCCAATGGGGCATGGATCTTGTTGGACAACTGCTCCAAGCAACTAGGCAAAAGAAGTATTTACTGGTAACAACAGATTACTTCACCAAGTGGATAGAAGTTGAACCCCTAGCCAAGATCCGAGACGTGGATATAAAGAACTTCATATGGAAGAACATCATCACCAGGTTTGGGATCCCAAGAGCAATAGTAGCAGATAATGGAACACAATTTGACAGTAAGCTAATCAAGAGCTTCTGTGCAAAGTTCAAAATCAAGAATTACTTTTCAACCCCAAGCTTTTCCCAAAGCAATGGACAAGCAAAAGCATCCAACAAAGTTATCTTGGATGGGATAAAGAAGAGGCTGTAAGCAGCAAAGGGAAAGTGGGTGGATGAACTGCCAAGTGTACTCTGGGCATATCGGACTACGTCGAGAAGATCAACTGGGGAATCCCCATTTGCCATGGCTTATGGCACAGAAGCAGTCATTCCTCTAGAAGTCGGCATCCCAGGGATCAGAACTCAGGGAGTAGAGAATGAGACCAATAATGTATTATTAGCCCGAGATCTGGATCTACTAGAAGAAAGAAAGGGAGAGAGCTGCAATTCAACTGGTAACTTACCAGCAGCAGCTTGCCAGGGCCTATAATAAGAAGGTCAACCCAAGGGAGTTTCAAATCGGTGACCTCGTCTTGAGAAAGGTAGTCGGCAACAAGAAGGATCCCAGAGAGGGCAAGCTTGGCCCAAATTGGGAGGGACCCTATAGAATCATCTCGGTGTTGGGCAATGGGGCATATCGGCTTGAAGATAACGAGGGCAAAGAGTTGCCAAGGCTCTGGAATACTTTCAATATGAAATTTTTCTATCATTAGATTTTCTTGTTTTTTGTTATTTGCCGAAGTAATAAATAAAGTTTTAGCTTGATTTTTCTACACTTATGATTAATAAAGATACTTGACGTGGTTTCTAGAATACATGCATAATAAGAATCCAAGTGCAACTTAAGTTTACATTAGGGGGCAAAGAGTTGGAAATTGGTTCCTGGAAAGATAGAATATACAAGTTAAAATTAGTTTAACACTTGTTGAAATTTGTGAAAAATTTACAAGTTAAAGTTAAACTAAGGTTATGTCTAACACTTGTTGAAATTTGAGAAAAATTTACAAGTTGAAGTTAGACCGAGATCATGTTTAATACTTGTTGAAATTTTTGAAAAATTTACAAGTTGAAATTAAACTAAGGTTATGTCTAACACTTGTTGAAATTTGAGAAAAATTTACAAGTTGAAGTTAGACCGAGATCATGTTTAACACTTGTTGAAATTTATGAAAAATTTACAAGTTGAAGTTAAATTAAGGTTATGTCTAATACTTGTTGAAATTTGAGAAAAACTTACAAGTTGAAGTTAGACTGAGATCATGTTTAACACTTGTTGAAATTTATGAAAAATTTATAAGTTGAAGTTAAACTAAGGTTATGTCTAACACTTGTTAAAATTTGAGAAAAATTTACAAGTTGAAGTTAGACTAAGATCATGTTTAACACTTGTTGAAATTTGTGAAAAATTTACAAGTTGAAGTTAAACTAAGGTTATGTCTAACACTTGTTGAAATTTGTGAAAAATTTATAAGTTAAGGCCAAAGGTTGTATTAAAATAAATACTTATGTACTTGTCGATGTAAACTGTTGGTATATATAACCGAGGTATTTCACCCTGAGAAAATTACACAGTTAAAGTGTACATTGAAGATATGCAAAATAAATCTAAGTATGGAATCATACAAAAGCAGTAAAGAGAAGACAAAGATACAAGCATTCAGGAAAGGAAGTTGTATTAACATTCAAAAGATGACATGTCGGCCAAGCTTACAATTGTTCCAAAAAGAAGAAAAACAAAAAGTACAAAATACAAAAGAAAAAGGACATCAAGACTCTTCGGCAACACCGGATGGTTGGGTTTGAAGTTCAGAAGACTGCTGGGAGGATATCTCGGTAGCCTTCTCTGCTGCGAGTTCGACATTTATTTCTTAAAGGGTTTATCGAGGCTCTTGTCGGCGAGAGGCACTTCCGATGATGCCTTCTCAGGAGTAGCATCCTTGGGAACCTCCTCACCCTCCTCATCTTGAGTCAAGTCTAGGACTTGCTCATTTGGAGTAGGGGACTTGGCCCTAACAGCTTCCTTGGATTTCCTCACCAAAGCCTCCTCCTCAGACTCAGAATCATCGTCAGATTGGCTTGGAGTTGGAGGAAATGGTAGGGCAAGGACATCGGTGTTCCTGAGGGGGGAGTCCTCGGGGACTTCGAGCTTTTTCAGGAGAGCTATCCAACCAAGGGTAAAACCCTTGTTGCATGCTTACTTCACCTGACGCTCGTAGTCCGCCATGACATCGGCCACCCCCTCAGCGTATGCCTTTTCATCTGAGGCCTTGATTTCGGCCTCTTTTGTGGCCAAGGCATCTTGAAGTTCTTTCTGAGCCTGGGTCGTCTTTTCCTTGGCCTCTCTCTTTTCGGCCTCGAGAACTTTCTTGATGGCCTTAGCGGCATCCTCTTTTTCTTCGGTGTCGTGCTTAGCTTTGATAGCAGCCTCGGCTTGATCTTCCAAAGTCTTCATTTTTGCCTCGGCTTTTTTATTGGTCTTCTGTAGACGAGCAACCTCCCTGGTCTTGTCAGCCAGCGCCTTCCTTGTCTCAAAAGATTGTATTGAGAAGGAGTGGGCGTACTGGATTGCCTGAAGAAAAATGGACAGAGAAGAAGTTATTAGAAAATTCTCTAAGTATAAAAAAGAGAAAGAAAGAAAAATATCAAGTATAAAGAACTTACTTGAACGGAACGCTGCAGCATCAGAGAAAATTTTTCGTATTCACTCATTTGAGCATTACGATTAAGATCTTCGGGCAAAAGCAAGGCGGTGGAAAGTGCAATTCCGACCTCAATATCGTTGGCACTATCACTAGCCTTGACTAGCTTATTGTCAATTGTGATTGACGGGGGGGCCCAGGGGGAATCACACTTTAGAGACCCCGAGGTGGTCGCAGAGGATGACCTCGGCCTTTTTGATTTGGTAGACTCAGATAGTGGGGCCTTGGCAGGCCTCTTCTCGGCAGCAGAAGAGGTCTTCTTACTCTCTGCCAATTTTGAAATTGGCAAGGTGTCCTCAGTGTCAATCTGAGTCAGCGTTGCCTTGGGCTGAGCCTTCTTCTGACGTTTTGGCTTTGGCTTTAGCTGAGGCTGGGTTTGAGTTGGTTGAACATCAATTGAGTCGAGAATGTTGGCCAAGAGATCCTTAGCGGCTGCTTTCTGACGACCCATCTCGGCGAAAATTGTAGTTCTATGGCAGCTTGGCGTTGAGATAGAGGGATCAGATATGGAGCTGAGGTTGACGGCTGCTCTACTAGATCAGAGGTCGACCCTTGATCTGGCCAAGATGAGGAGGCTGCTTGAGGAGTTGTGGCGGAAGGCGGAGAAAGGTTCTTCTTCTTCTTTGGAACGTCGGGAAGAACCGACTTGTAGGTAGGAATAAAATTGAGCAGTAGGGGGGCTCTCCGCTTGTGGACAGGCAAATCCAATAGCTTCTTCAAGTCCTTGCTGGGGAAGAAAGACTGGCGAAAGCCCTTTGGTGGCTGAGGAAGAACTGTAAAAAGATGAGTACAGACATTAGAACAAAGTATTGAGGACTATAGAAAAGATAGTAAGAAAAAGTGACACTTGGCCCTTACCATCTCCTTCCTCGAAAACTGTTCGGCTTAGGGGATAAAGGTGGAGGTCAACGTTGGGCTGAAACTCCCAGTTGCCCGAGAAGATGAAGTAATCGTCTCCAGCACCCTTGTTTGAGTCTGGGAGGTCGGTAATGAGCTTGTACTCAGTGGACCTCGACTTGAGGTAATAGATGTGGCCTTTTTTCGATTGCAGGCGACACATAGTGTAACAATACTGGAAATCGACAAGGGTAACCCTAGCATTCTCTTGTTTGGCTAAGGCTATTGTACCGTTGATAACTCGATAAGAATTGATGGCAAGTTGTATAGGGTTCAATTTATAGTAATGAAGGACTTCTCGGAAAAAAGTGTCAAGTGGAAACCTAAGTCCACACTCGATAAAGGCCACTATTGGAAAAGGCATGAGGTTCACATCAGGCATGATGGAGTCATCCTCCCCAGCTAACCTCAGGTGAACGTCGGCTGGGATGTCAAACTCCTGCCTAAAGTGTATTAACTTGATCGGTGTATTTACCCTATGCTTCCACATACCCATGATGTCGGCTTGAGGAGAAGATGTAGGATTTCGGAAGAAAGTGTTTTGTAACGGTTTTTAAAGACCTCGGCTAAAACCTAAATGTGAGCTGGGATAAGAATTTGTGGGGATCGTTTTAGTTTTTCCTAAAATTTGTGGGTTCTACAAGCAAATCCCAAGCCTAGATCTATGAAAACGAAGATTGAAGGCACGAATCTGGAAAGGAAACAGAAAATAGAAAACAGGAATGTAATTCAGAGTCAAGAACAGTGATAGATTATCAAGAAACACAAGACAAAAGTTTACGCAGGTGTGTCAGGCCAAGAACAGCGGCAAAAATCAACAAGTGTGTGAAAAGTGTGAATTCAAGAAACAGATGGAGCAAAAACAGAATCATGAGACAAACATGTGGTGGAAAACAAGATACAAGTTGAAATATCAAAGATATGAGCAGGATTGCAGAGGCAGAGCAATGGAGTTCAGTAAAGTGAAAAAGAAACTGAAACAAGAAGTTAAATCAGGAAGAATCAGTAACTCACCGAAGAAAAGAAGCCGGTGTTGAGTTCGCCGAAGTCAGACGACCGAAAGCAGCGGAAAAGACTAGCAAGAGCCTCGCCGGATGGGGTGAATGGCGGTGGTAGCAGAGCTTGAAAGCTTGGAACAATGGAGGATTTGAGAAAGTAAGAAAGAGAGAGAGTTTGAACAAAGACGATGATAAGTGAAAAGACGAGGAGAGAGGTAAGGAGTTTTGTCAAAAACTTGAAGAGGCGGCAAAATGCAATTAAATGTGCCTGGAACGACGTATCCGACAGACGGCGCACGCAGGCACGAGGCGATTTTATGGCGCGTATTAAATACGGTCCAATAGGGTAGAAACGCATGGCAGAAACAATTGGAATGTTGTTTGTGACAGCTTATGCGCATGATAAAACTCTTGGAGTTCTTGGCTAAATAAAGCAATGGCATCGGTTGATAGGAAAATCTCAGCTAAATAAACTCGAATAAACTTGGTTAAAAATTCTGAAACCTTGATGAGACAGACTACAGGACCTGGTTGTGAGAAGCCGGTGTATTATGACCTCGGCAATATAGCCAACATGAACGATATATGTTCCATCACCTCAGGATGCTGAGGTAATAGAACCTAAGGGGCAGTTGTGGGGATATATTTTCTGAGTACCAACACGTGGCCAAGGTGACGCCGACGTGTCAGTCGAGGTGCCACGTGTCCTGGTCATGATGCCGAGGTGATCTCGGCTAGGCCGAGGTTATCTCCGAAGATGTCAGAATCTGGGATAAGCGGATAAGGGACAAGAGTCCTAGAATGAAGAAGGACTTCAGCCTGGATAAGGATAAAGCTCTTAGGGAGTTTATCTTTATCTATTGGAGAGTCCAAGATAAGCACTAAGTAGAAGTCCATTGAAGCTAGGCTCCTATTTGGACTTGGATTGTGTTGGCTATAAAAAAGAGGCACCCCCATGAGTCTAAGGTACGCAATTTATATTTAGAGCAATGATTTTAGTATTTGATCTATCTTTGAGAGATAACTGACTTGATCATCGGAGTGCCCCCGGTGGACGAACCACCGCTGGAATCTCTTCTTTCTGTTGCAGGTGACTCAAGAGCCATCTATTCTGCCAGTGCTCTCCAGTTGAATATTGAGTTGGCAGTGTGGTCAGAAATTCACTTACACACAAATAATGGCCACTTGTGTGTTCGTAGATTGGGTATTGGATAGTATAGCTATAATCTAGCTACCATTTATATTTTATTTTTTCATATCATAATATATAGTATTTCACACTAGTTTTGTTGCATTACAAAAGTATACTGGTTGGGAAAATGACTCTCTCAATTGGTTATAGACTTGGAATACTGTTCTTGTGTTTCTCTAAAAAATATCATATTGAAATAGAAGTTTATTTTAGATGGGAGCTATAGGTAAAATTAACTTAGTTTCTAGCAACTTGACAACAAATTTTGAAGGGTTATTGTGCCTGCAGCATCCATGGTTAAGATGTTGGAAAAAAATGATTTTTTGGTAACTTTAATGTGAAATTAAAGTAGGTCCCAACTATTGGTTGAGGTGGGATTAAATGGGTTTAGATTCTTTGTAATAAGGTCTTTACACTACAAAAAGAATGACAAAAAATCATTGAGAATTGAATGAGAAATTGTCTCATAAAGATGATCTCATGAATGAGGTATTGAAAATTGTGTATAATTACCAATCCCACATTGATTATAGAGAAAAATTTTGATAGGTATTTAAACCTCAAGATTATGTGAAGGGCATGAGCTCTTTGAGGCATCCAAATTTTCTGAAGGAAGGAAGTTATGGATGTTTCAAGGATGGACTTGGGCTAAGACTATGGTCCAAGTTGGTTATGAAAAAATTGCTACGTGCGTGTGCGCCTCCCGCCCAGGCCGGGCTGGGTTTGTGGATATTGGGCTTAGGTTAGGTTTGTGCTGGGCCGGATTGGTAGTCTACCAACCTAATCTTTTTGGGCCAGGTCTGCTACAGATGGTTTCTCCTCTTTCCCCCATTGTGTATAAAAGAAGGCCCATCTCCCTTGGGTTCCACAGAGAAATTTTGCTCTTAGATTATAGTCAAGTCAATCTCCTCCTATAATTTTCTTCCTGTGTGAGAGAGTGCTACCATTATCAGTTCGCCAAACATGTAGCCCACTGTGTAAATGTTTTGATTAGACATTCTATTTAATTTACCACTATTTCTTATGTAATTTGTATTTAGATTAGTCCACTTGTTTTTTTCCCCATGTAAATTACTATATAGTTTTGTTTTATCACAAGCTCATAATTTATAATTTCATATGTAATTTCCCAGAACTTCTATTATTGTCATGATTAGACCATTAAATTCATATAGATTGAATGCTGCTATTTTCATCCTAATTGCCTACTGTTACCTATGTATAATTTTATTTTATAAGTATCATTCATAATTTCCTACCATGGTGTACATGTTTCTAATGTTATAATATGTTTATTAGATTTACATTTCTAGGATGATTCGCATGTTTTAAAATTTCTAGAATTATTTAGTTACATGTTAATTGTGTAATAAGTTCATATGTAACTCTTGGTAATTAAAATTTTTAATTTAATTGTGGAGTTATAAATTTTATTTTTGGTAACTTGTTTATATTTATTTACATGATAATTACTAGAGTTATTTGCATGTTTATTGTAAATTATATTTCATGTAACTGTTGTCTATTAATTTAATTTATTTATTTGGAGTTATAACTTTAAATGTTTATTGTGAATTAATTTCATTTATAATTCATGACTATTAATTTTTGAATTTAAGTTTTGGAGTTATAGGTTTATTTTGTAACTCTTAAGGTTTATTGTTGGAACTCACCTAGCATTTTAATTAGTTAATTTTATTATTAAATAATTTGCTAGATGGTTTCAAGTTTCTTTAGATTGTTTGGCTTGTATGCTCTTGTGTTTTTCTGCTAACCTTCTTTACAAGAATACCTATGCAAAAGGGATTGGGAAAACAAATACAAACCCAAATGAATAGTCTTTGGGATGTACAAATAAAAAGTATTGACGGCTAACCTTTGTGATGAACAGGAATAACTAAGCGTGGAAAGGACAAAATAAGAAATTCTATAAGCTTGTCAAATCATTATATGATTTGAAACAAGCACCTAAGTAATGGCATGAGAAGTTTGACAATGATGGCATGAGAAGTTTGACAACGCTATGTTGTCAAATGGGTTTAGAATCAATGAGTGTAACAAGTGCGTATATGTTAAAGACACTAACAGGGGTTATGTCATTTTGTGTCTATACGTAGATGACATACTCATTGTTGGTAGTAATGATAAAATGATTCAAATTACCAATAGATTGTTAAACTTTAAGTTTGACATAAAAGATATAGGCCTTGTAGATGTCATTCTAGTTATTAAGATTATTAAAACATTTAGTGGTATTGTACTTTCTCAGTCTCATTATGTTGAGAAGATACTTGAGAAATTTGAAAAATTAGATACAAGTGTGTTTAGGATACTAGTAGACGTGAGTCTACATTTTGATCAAGA